AGCACAGTTGGATACGGTCATGAAAACAACCGTGCGGCAAAACCGTCTCAGGGTTGCAATTTAGGCTCCGCCCGCGACTCCGCCCACTTTTCTCCGGAAATTTTTCCCCCGAAACTTCCGGGGTCTCCGATAAAAAAAAATTTAAAATTATTTTCGATAAAAAAACGTTTGTTTTGAAAACAATAAGTACACTACTTCAAAAAAGTTCTGATAATCAAGTTAAAAAACGTTCCATGTTCTCGAACTAATGCCTCCAAATTCCTCTGGTACTCAATCTCAAGAGCATTAAAATTCACCTGGAAACATGTCATTGCCACAACAATCACTGTTGATAAGCATGCATATATCAGAAGATTTGTCTGAACTGTTGTCGCCAGTTTGATCTGAGTCTCAAAAAACTGAAAATCAATTTGACTTCACTACAGTAATCCTCACTCACCTGCAATCTCTTTTGTTTTCTGTGAACACAACACGCCAGGAGATTACACGAAAGGCTCGAAATGCAGAAGAATATGTATATTAAACAGGTCACTTTGGAATTTGTCTGAAAATTGGAAAATTGTGAAGTGATAGAAGTTTCAAAAAATAAGACCTCTTGATCTCCTGGATTTATTAAATGGGGAATGTAACTTCCATTTAAATGGATGTATGCAGATGGTTGTGCTGCTCGCAAAGCTGTTGGAATGATAGAAATGAGCATTCCAGTTAGGAATAGAGTCAGAGTCGCCTTTTTCGTCCAAAATTTGTTATGTAGGATTGGATAAACAATTGCGGACAATCGGTTGATAGAGAGCAATAATTGAGCACACATTTCAACAAGAACTGAGTATTGGGATATCATGAAACCGGCTTTGGCAAGGTACGGAATGTATGTGACTTCCTAAAAATTATTGGAAAATTGTATGGGGATTTGTGTATGGTATGGTACCTTCCATCCTGCAATTGGGAATCGAAACGCGAAGAGAGAAATAAGAACTTGTATGAAATCGGCAGCGCTGAAAATCATGCTTTAGTATTCAATGGTTCAGGGACCTTTCCAAAATTTTGGAAAAGTTTTAATAAGGGATGTCAATTGAGAACTTTATAATTCAAATTTAAAGCAATAAGTTTACGCCAACATAAAGTATTTCTTCTATTAGACGCCAATCCAAACCGTCATCTTTGAGCTCAATTGACTCAATTTCTGTGAAAGATATAAAAATCTTGTCAACAGAAAAATGATTTATCACAATATCATCAATATTTTATCAGTTGACAGATTTTTGATATTTTTCACAGGAATCGAGATAATTGGGCTTGAAGTGGGTAAGCTTCTATTTTCTGTTTCTGTATTTGCTCTAATGTTTTGGGACCAAGTGAAAGGACCTACAGAAACCAATGACGTATTCCGAGAAACTCAAAGATTACCTCTCAACAAAAAAAGTCGGTGAAATGCAGTCTTGAATTCTGCATCCGTCGACCACATTATATAAATGAATATCAGGGAGTACAGTGATAAACTGAATAAGATATAGACTGATTGTATTACAACAATCCATGTGTAGTTCATCTGAAAACATTGAAAAAAAACTTTTTCAAAAATAATAAGAACATGTGAGTAAGACAAAAAAAATAAGCCGGAAATGACAGTAATCGTCGAAATTTGAAAATTCAGAAGAATGAAAAAAAGGAATCGGATTTCTTCGCGAGGCTACAACGGATGCTCGTGTTGTTTCGATGAGCATGCACACATCCATCAGCCACACTAAAAACAAGAGAATCCAACATTTTTCAATTAAGCCTTCTCCTCCAGATGAGTACGAAAAGAATGAGAACACGAATGTCATATGAAGAAGAAAGAAGACGTTATTTGATTCTACCGAAATAAACTAGGAGCAGGAGAAGAAGAAGAAAAGGGAAGAGGAGTAAAACTTTCATTGTCCACATTTGTCAAGTGGAACAAGAACAAGAGAAGATGAAAGGATCGGTTTCATGAAGGAGCATAAAGGAGGAGGGGTTTCGAATTTCCAGACGTGATTTCTTAAAATCACAAAAGTTAGAAAATAAACAGACCTTGGTACAGGGTTCGTTCTCCGGGGGTACATTGACATCGAAAATAGTCTGAAGGCGTACATCTTGCTTTTTCAGGAACTCTTATATTTTCAGTTGGTACAAAAGCAATTTTTTCCACTGATGACAATAGATGGGACACATAATCTTTTAGTGCGTTTTTTTCCGGAGGTAGATCTGAGCTATTCTCACAAGGAAGTGTTTTTAGAAAAGGGCTGAGAATTTCTGGAAATAGTAGAAAAACATTTTAAAATACAATCCACATTCAGAAAGTTCCCAAAACTCTTGTTAGCTTCTTCAGAACTTCACTCCAAGCATGAGAAAAGAGTACTGAAATCCCTTTCTTATAACTTTTCTCATAACTTTTTTCAACGGGAATGGGGAAACTTGATTTCAGTTCTGTAATCAGTGTGTTAAAAAATTCCAATGATCAAAGTTTGAGAAAGTTCTTAACCCTTTTCTGAAAACGCTCCCCTTGACAATGGGTAATTTTTTTTTCTAATTTTCATATCATTTATTTCAGTGAATATGTTATTATACTGGTACAGGATGGAAAGAAAATTTGCGGGCCGGGACTGAAGGTGCCAGAACAAAAACTACCGTAATCTGAAAAATTTTAGCTTTTCGGGAATTTTTTCACTGAATATGACAAGTTTTTCGCGACTTCTTTAGGGGGACAACTACAGAAAAACCGTCGAAAATCAGTAAAAAGCGAAAAAAATTGAAGGGTTTTAATTTTATTGTGGTACAAAAATCGAGCTGTGGAGGAGAAACCTCGGTGACCGCGGCAAAAGGTCCCACGACGACAACTACCGTATCATAAAATTTTTTTTGTTTTCCGGATTTACTATCTCGATTTTCGTGCGTTTCAGTCAATTTTTTAATTACCAAAGTTTTATATTTTCCGACTTGTTTGTGGAAAAATAACAAAAAGCTAGACGAAAAGCAAAGAAAAACGAGAAAATAACTCGGAAAGTAAAAATATTTTTAGGTTACTGTAGTTGTTGTTGTGGGATCGCAGTTCCGATGTGTTGTACCAACATAACCATTGTCTAAATAATTCTAAATCTTGACTGAATACTCTTTTATCTGTTAGAGATTGAACTTTTATAAGGGTAACCCATCGGATATTGTTCTATTTCTAGCCAACTATACGATTTCACATGAGTGCAGACTCCTCCCATTTCCTTATCCACGGCTCGTTGATTTTAGAGTTAGGTGAGTTGTATAATACATTTCATGGTCAAGAAGGAGGCGACGAGCAAGATACGAAGAGTCATTGCATACGGAAATCAAAAGGGCGAAATAAGAATGAATTCGTCGTTTGGGCAGCACGCAAACAGCGGAATGGGGGGAGGTGGTTTCAATTAAATGGGTGCTTGCTTCTGCTCACAAATGTGTGTCGTGGTCCTTGATTCATTTTTTATTTTGAAATGCAAACTCTCAAACTAGAGTGTGATAAATAGTTGCAGTGTGTTAAACTTTATTGGAGGAATCAGTATGGATATTTTATATACGGGTTAATTTAGAGATCGACTTTCTCGATACAAGATCATCAAATTACAGGATTGGTTTCACTTCGTCGAACTGCTTTCTAGCCTTTTTCAACTCTTCTGACATCGAGAGGAGATCCTTGACTCGTGAGAATTTTTTCGAATCGCGACGGATCAAATAATGAATGTCTTCGAGAGCCATCTTGTCTGGCTTTCCGACTTTCATCGCCAATTGGCAGAGCTCTTTGATGTAGTTGAGAACTATCGCCTCCAGAACATCGAGGGTTTTGTCGTACGGTTCCTGGAAAATTCTAGAAAATGACTCGAAATAAAATTAAAGCTCCTACCTTATCGTCTCCGAAACCGTAGACCATTGTGCGAAGATCTCTTCTCAACGCATGTTTCTTGTCTTCTGGATTGACATTCTTCTCCTTGTCCTCGTCGACATCAGAAGCGAAAAGATCCTCGTCATCATCCATCGTTTACTTTTTGTTCTGAACCAATAGTCATTTTAAAATTGACTCCAAGGAATCAAAGATAGTTATACTTGAAATAAACAAGAAAGGAAACGAAATTTGATATGTGAATCAGCTCATTCGAGAAAATCTTTATAAATATCATTGTGGAGAGTAAAACTAGTACATAAAGGGAAAGCGTGTCAAGAAGGCAAAACACCACGAAAGGCACATGAAATAGGGGGAAATTTGAGCTATTACAATTGGATGTTTTAAAGATTGATGATAAAGAGAAAGGGGGAGGAACAAAAGACATTCGATGGGGGGAAAGCGAAGAAAGAGTTTGTAGATCCGATGTATAAAGTGATGAGTGTGTGAATGAGAACAGGAAATGAACAAAAACACATGCAAGAGCAAATTAGTGGTCGCTGAACACGTCTAGTAGATCACAGTTATCAGTTGGGTTGAGCGGAGCAGATTGAGGTTTGAAGATGAATACTTCTTAAGCGCGGCGAAGCTTGTCGTTGATCGTACGGACTATCATTGTGGTTTGGAAGACGAGCTGGTTCGCGGAAACCGATACCTGCAAATTTTCTATTTTTTTTATTCGTTTCAAGTGGATTTATGAAATGAAAAAGTGTTGAATTATACATTGTTTTTGACCTAGCGTAACACTCACCTGGTTGGCATTCTGATCCTTGAAGTAGGTCTTCAAAGTGTTACTGAATCTTTTCGAGTAGTGCACGAACTCTCGCTTGCGCTTTTCGACTGCCGGTTGGGCGGTCACTGGGACAATCCTGTAGACAGCATTGATTGCTTCGAGCAGCTTTTTGATTGAAGATGCGATCAGTTTAATTGTCTCAAGGAATGCGTGACGATCAGACATTTCTTCTGGCACTCGCGATAGAACACGACGAAGTTCGATGGCTCTGTAATTTGGGAAGAATTTAGTTTTTAAATTAAGATTCGATTGATTACCGTTTCGTGAGCTCTTTGTAATCGGCATTTTGTTCATAGCCACTGACAATCAAATCATTTGTTGGCGAAGTGTCATGCATTCTCAAGTAGGATTCCTGAAAATTTAAAAATACAGCTTTGAAAGGAAATTAATCCGTCTACCTGTAGATTTAAATTCAACTCCGAGTCATCCAGAAGAACTTTTGTGAAGTCGTAGAGGAACGATGGAGACGCTTGCTCACAGGTGGTCAATGCAGTATGCAGTTTCTGGAAATTCATCGATATATCTTCGGAAAGTGAAAAATGGAATTACGTTGAGTGCAAGAGAAGCTCTTGGATCGTCTCGGTGCTTCTGTCTGAAATCATGCCGATTGAGATTTAGTTTTAACGACAAAAAATTACTTGATTTTCTCCATAACTGGATTGTACAAGCACTGATAAGTCATTGCTCCAAGATATCCGCCCTCTTCGTTCATGTCGAACTGCTGAAAATCAATATGAATCGGAATAATGGCAATGCGCGCGGAATGGTTCAGTTAAAACGGGCGCATGAGCGTATGATCGATTCGTCCGCAAATATATGAATAGAAATCAGACAGAAGTAGAGAGACGCAGACGCGAAGACAAATGATTTGAGAGAATGTGGTGAAACGAGATGAGAAGAACCAACAGAAATAAAACGAACGGTTGGGTGTGGAATGTGAATAGAGGCAGCTGAGTCACATAAGTTTTGTCTGATAACTGAAAACGCGCTGACATGGGAAGGTGCTGGGGGAAAATATATGTCTTCAAATGACGTCAACATTTAATGTTGACTGATTTTTTTTAATTTCTGCGCAGAATGCTTGTATTCAGGTATTACATAGAGAAATATTTACAGCTGAAAAAATAAAAACCCTATAAAATTTGAAAAAAGTTCGAATTTGAGTTAGGGCGCACTTTCTGACATCCAAAAAGCGAGGCGGAGACCCCGCAAAATTGATGCTGGAGCAACCATCACCGCCGAATCAGCTGCTGAACTTTCTGCTAGTTTCGCTGCTGATCTTACCGCAAAAGCGAATGTTAACGTGACTGCTTCATTCGCTGCCGAGTTTGCTGCTGCAGTTGGTGCCGAAGTATCTGGACATGCTGAATCCACTGCTGAGGACAACAATTAAATTCTCGAGCAAAAACTGACAACATTGTTTTCTAAAATAATCCTGACAAAATGTTTCATACGTCTATGATTTACAGTTCACTAGACAACAACAAAAAAT